GGGCCCAGGTGTCAGCCGCCCTGTCCGGCCTGCTATAAAGCCACAGCTGCACCTGGTGCTTTGGCCCAGAGGAGCAGGGCACGATGGCAGCCAGGAACCCCCTCCTGCCCTGACCTGATGCAGATGTGAGCAGCAGCATGTCTGATTTACTCTGTTTCTGAAACAGAGTGGGGCCTCCATGCCCCAGCCATGAGAAGCAAAGGACCCAGGCTACAGTGTCCCAGACCAGGCAGTATCCTGGCCTGTCCTGCACTATGGACTCTTCTATCCCATAGGAACACTCTGCTCGGCTGGGGCAGTGGTCCCAGGAACCATGCATGCCAGGAGGGGCCAGTCCCCTGCAGAGCAGGATGCAATCAGGGTGCTGGATGCCAGGACAGACCAGCTCATTCACTGCAGAGGATGAGAGGCCAGCTCACCAGCCCTGTGTACTCCTGCAGCAGGTGCCTCCACTCCTCCAACCTCCTTCTCGGGGGCCCTCCCCTAAGGCTGCTGTTAAATGGGTTTCTGCTTTACCTGTATGCTGTTGGGCAACTCCTCTCAGAAATGGGGGGACAATTCACCTCTCACGGCCAGAGCTTGGGGCTGCAGTCCTGGGAGTTAAAATCTTCAGAAACCAGCACTAACATCCTACGGTTATCTACCCATCTGTTCTGAGAACCTCTTTTCCTCTCCACTTCCTCTCTGCAGAGCAGGACCCAAGGCATCATGATTAGCTGAAACATGAACTGCAAGGCAGTAGCCTTAAAAGGTCACTGTTGAACCAGGAAAATAGCAATGAGAGCCGCAGCTCCGAGTCTGTCATCAGAACAAGGCAGGGAGCAGCTCAGAGGAGGGGCAGCACGATGGACGTCAAATGCCTGCAGTGGAGCCAGCTGCAGTTTCACTGAGTTTTGTGCCTCCCAAACCAGACTGCAGAATGAATCAGTTCATGGACCCAGAATGAAGCATCAGGATTGGGTCTTTGAAGATACACGTGGATGTGGCATGTCCAGTAACCAAACTTCCCGCACACACAGAGCCACATCCTGTTCTCACAGCCTCTGCACTGCCCGGCAGAGAGCACACCAGGGGGCTCAGCTTCAGGAGGTGTCAGCAGACGAACCCGCAGATGGACATGAGAGGAACAGAGTGTCTAGCCTGGCTGGCTGGGCTTCCTACAAGCAGCCTGGTGGGAGTTCATAGGCAGAACTCACGCCTAGAGACGGGGTTCACCAGCAGTCTTGCCAAGTCACTTGGCTCCAACGCTTACAAGGGGCCTCCCTTGCTGTAGCCAGCAGCAGCCCATCCATGGAGCACAAGCCGCATACAGGCCACACCCAGCTCCTAACAGCACTATAGAGCACATAGGTGCTAAGGTTTCCTCTCTAGAAACTGCAAGTGCAGGGGTCCTGCACAAACCATTGGCTTCTCGCTGCTTATGGCACTTGCTTACTTCCTGCTGCTCACCCAAGTGCAAAACCAGACACCTTTTATTTATAGGTACTGGCTATCTGGCAGGATGGTTGCCTGACTACCAGAACACACATGCATTTAACAATGCACCGGCTCCACATTTACAACCAGGGAGACTTTCCTTTTGGCCCAAAGTTACGGACAAGCCTGTTTCCCTTCAGCTCCCTGCTGCTTTCAAGGCTTCTGGCAGGCAGAACAAGGGGTAATGGTCTCCCAGTGCCTGGATGGTTTGAATGCCACCAGCAATCAGAAACCAGAGCCTCCTTCTCAATATGAGCTCTCAGGTCTGGGTCACAAAGACTACAGAGACCCTTAAAACCTCACCTTGCCCCATGGTGGTTTGACCCAGCTGAGACCTGTGAGAAAGAAGCTGCTCTTACCTGTCCCTGTACTGCTGTCTTCCCGGTGGGAGCTCCTTCCTGGGGTAGCTCGGACATCTCTGCCTTCTCCTGCCCTTCTGGAAGCACAGGAACACTTGCAGAGAGTTACTGTGGGGGAAGAAAGTGAGCAAGCAGAGGCTGCCCTGCTCCACGGTTCAGCACTGTGGCCGTGCCGAGAGGCTGTCAAGGGTTCGTTTGTGCTTCCTAGGGAAGAAGCGTGTTGCACAGACCTGGAATCAGTCCAGCCCAGCTCAAGTCTGCACGCTCCTCTGCTGTCCAGAGATCTCTTGCTTCTAGTGCATATCAGCAACAAGCCAGCAGTGTTGGCCAAGAGCAGCCTCTTCGGGGAAAAGCCTCTGGACCTGCCTCTCTGACATGCAAAAACAACTCAACTCCAGGAAATTGCCTGGCTAGCGTTCCCCGCCTTGGCTCCTGAGGCTCTCCTCTGTCCCCACTGTGAATCATGGGTTGGCATGAGTGGAACAAGCCCCAGACTGGGAAGGGACCTCTCTCTGCAGTGCCAGCCCCATAGGAACTGCTACACGATGGCTGTCCCGTGGCCTGCTCGACAGTTCAGGTCTGAACGTAAATGTATCCATGGCACAGCCTCCACCGCCCCCAAGTGCTGCTAGAGGTAGCAACAATGCACGGGGCCAGGAAAGCTGGAGAAAGCTCATTCATGGCCAAGATGTCTCTGTACCAGGGAAGAGATGAGGGGGTCCACCAGCCAAACCCTCCTGGCCTGGGCTACTTTGATTGGCATCCAAACTCCTTTCTAAGACAGATGTTCTAAGCCAGAGCTCCAGAAACTGGGTGTGCATCTAGCGCTGGGTCAGAAGGAAGGTGGTTACTCATATCAGTCACAAGCAGTTTCCGTGGTCTCTTCCCAGATTGCTTGCGGTCTACGGAGATGTTCACCCTCCCAGGGAGCCTGCACTGCTCTATGTCTGTGGGGACTGCATGGATGCCATTTACATGACAGCATCCTTCCCTGACTGGCCCACGCTGGCCAGAGGGAATCCAAAGTCCCTGGACTTCTGCAGGGCAATTCACTGCTGCAGAGTGACTTTCTTTCCATCAACATCTTCCTGGCAGCTTGGATAATTAATACCACACAAACTGGACTGCCTCCAGAGCAGTTCCAGGCACCTGTGCATTTCCACACAGATCCTTTTATAATCGCACACAACACTTCCCTAACGGCAGGGGAGGAAAATGAAGCCAGAATAAACATCTGTTAAGGGATAGGTTTCTCTCAGCTACTCCATTTTCCACCCTCCTGGCTGGACAATTTTGGCTAGCACAAAGCAGGCCTTAGGATAGGGCTCTCAGCACTTCACTGTCCATGCACTTGATGTCCCTCAGCTGTCTGGGCACAGCAGGCTGCCCTTGCTGGGCACGTATGGCACGTGGACCTCTCATACCCAGGCATTCTCAGCCCTGAGTTTGTAGTTGCCTGGCTAATTCCCCTCCGACACAGGACAGCTTTGCTCTCTCTCCAGTTAGGTCTCTCCAAGGTGCTTTCTGCTAGCTGCATGACTGCATAACTCACCAGACAGGACATCATGATGGATGATGCAGCAGGTGATGGCTGGAGCCTGTCAGCTCAGCTTTGACAGGATGTCCCAAGCAGGTACAAGTTTAGCAGACAGCGCCAACAGCCCTGAGCCATGCACTTCAGTGCTAGACTCCTAGAAGCACTTGGTGCTTGTAAACAGTGTTAGGCGTGAAGGCTTGGAATCAGGCCGAAAATGCTCAGAGCAGAAAGCCAGCGGCAACAGATCCAGGGAGAAATGATGCCAGCAACAGCTCATCGCAGAACAAGAGAGAAGCCTGAAGCAGGGGGAAGGGAGGAGAGAATCGGCACAGCTGCAATGACACTCCTCTGACTGCACAACCGCTTCTGCAAGATGGCTCTGCGCTGCAGTCTAAGGAGAAATGGGAAGACCCCACTCCAGATGATTCACTGGCTACAACAGCAAATGCCAAGGCCCCCCTTCCCCTGCAGACATGCAACACAGCATCCTCACATAGCACGACATTGCAAGGCCAAGGTGAGAAAGCCCCTACCAGGTCCCAGGGTGGATCCAGGCTCCAGAACATGGTACTGAAACTGTTCCAAGCAGTGCCAACAAAGCAGCATCTCTCAACTCACAGGAGACACAGGGGCACCAATACAGCACAGGAACCCAGTCACTCCCCAAGCCTGGAGCCACGGGACCCCTGGGGATGAATGACACCTGCTCACCGCACAACCCAAGCACTCCAAAGATGGCCAGGGGCTCCTCGCCACAGCGGCAGGCCATTAATGGAAATGGGTGGGTTTCTTAACAGGTGAGGAGTGGGAGAAGCAGCAGGGCATGCTCCACTGTGGAGATGGGAGCGCAGTCACTGCACGGGACAGCCTCATTTGCGAGCACATGCTGCCAGCGCCCAGAGCGATTCACCGTCACAGTAAATGCCTTCCCCAGGAACTCATGCCACCAGCTTTGCCATGTGCGTGACCTACTTGAGCAAGGACCAGACCCCAGCCCACCCCCTGTACAAGCCAGCTCTGCTTGGGCTTTTCCCCTTCTTAAAGTAAATGGAAGAACTCGGACACGTGCTGTCACCCATGTTGGAGAAGCCATTTTGTTAGCAGCCAGGTGGATGGAAAGGCCACACTCTTAATTGTGCACATGCAATTGCCAGCCTAACTGCAGCATGAATGGGTGGCTGCAGCTGCCCACAAATTCAGTGCGATGGCCAACAACAGTGTTGGGCATCCCACAGGCAACACAGGTGTCAGTGGCCGTGTGGGAAATGGGTGCACGATTAAATCCAGCTGCAGCCTTCAGACATGGCACATACCCTGTCTTTAGGGATGACAACCTGCTTGGGGAGGGGCAGAAGGAGAATTGGACCTCAGCTGCAAGGACACGTGCAGCAATTAGAAAGAGAGAGGAGGAATAACAAAGTGAGCTGGAGGGGGCAGCGGCAGGAGGAAGGGAACAAGAGCCCACCCCCGTGGGAACACTCAGCAAGGACATGGAAATGCTCAGACGGAGATGCCAACCACAAAGGGTGCTTGGAGCTGGGTAGGGCTAGAGGCCAACCTGCTCCCCCCGTGGATGCAACTGCACTACCTGGCAGGCTCAGCCCTTGAGAGCAAAGCTCAAGTAGTCTACAAAGACACTCAAAAAGCCAATGCGAATGTGTGAGAGGGGGCCCCTGCTAAAACACAGGCCAGGACAGGTTCCACATGAGAAACAGAGGCAGAAACCGTGTGGGAGCAGGGGGAGAGAGGGGAACCAGCTACTTGAAGCAACGAGAGAGAGGAGAAAAGCTGGCACTCCAAGCCCCGAAAGCAAAAGGCATTTTGAAAGGAAATGAGAAGACAACAGGAACTTGGCTCTCCCCTTTTATCAGCGCAGCATAGATTATTTTCTTACGCAGAAATCCAGCCGAAGAGCAACAACTTAGCCTACGCAGAGCAGCACAAACCAAGACACTGAATGGACACACCAGGGAAGGGGAACAGAGAGAAGGTTTATTACACTAATTAGCAGGCATCGGAGCAGAGGGAGGTGTGGGGAGAACTGCCTCCCCTGCGAGAAGCAGTCAAGGCTTGTGTGTGTTAGGACACGGTTGCTTCCACCCTTTCAAGCTTGCCTGCCCTGCTTGAGAAGTGGGCCCTCTGCCCAGTTTCACTCCCTCCAACAGAAGGGCAACTTCTTTCTTACTCCTGGCTAATATTTGTTTGCTCTGTCAAAGAAGCCAAGCTTCCTGCAGGAAAATTGCAGGTACTTGATGCCCAGTTAACTCCTTGTAGGCCTCACTGGAGCACTGATCGATATATATACTGCTCACATAACAGCTCTGCTATGCATTAATCAGCCTAGGCTTGATCAGCCAACCTGACCAACGCACAAGCTCCTCACACAGACAAAACCTGGCACGTGGGCCAGATGTGCACTCCTACCAAAAGCTGGGAGGGGAAGATGGTGATACAAGGTGTAGCACAATCCAATACCAGGAAGATGAGGCTGGAATGCGAACACCCAGGTCAGAACGTGAAAAAAGCCCATGAGTCAGGATATTTTGAGATATTCAAGGCACAGGTGGACTGCAACATGCCATTTGTTTTGATCGTTGTATAAAAGGAGCATTGGAAATCAGGGGACCTTTGTAGTGGCCTGGGGAAGCCTGCGTGGTGTTGTGCTGACTACCTTGTCACAGGTACAAATGCCTTAACTCCCGGTCTGATGTACTTGTCAGGCCAAAACGTGTTAGGTCTGTGCTTGCAGGTCTGGCCAAATCTTTGCCATGAAACCAAGCCTGTGGTCATTGTCTAAGACCAGATCGGTGCTGGAATCTCCTGGCTGAGACTTTGTCAACACAGTTCTTGAGACTTCAACACCGACAACACATCAATAAAACCCCTACTAGGACAATATCAATGACACTGAGAACAGCCGACAACACCTCCCATGCTGGCTGTGGGCAGAACAGTAGTTAATGAGCATACACCTCAACCCACTTTTCACTCCTCTGCTCAGGAAAACCCTGCCTGTGCCCAGCTGAGTAGTCGAGAGCTGGAGAAGCTGTGGGACATAAGGATTACTTCTAACGAAAGCTGGAGAAGGAGGAAAGGGTAATCCGGGACACAGGTCAAATCACCAGGCTTCACAAAGGCATGTGCTTAGAGAGATAGGCCACCAACATAGCTGCATACCTGCAACAGCACAATGACGGAGATGGGCCTGGGGGGAAGCTCTGTGGCAGTGTCACCCTCTGGCAGACTGGGTGACACTGGGCATCACCTTTTCATGATGAGCAGAAGCTGCTCCAGGAGTGCAAAACCAGCAGTGAGAGAAGGGGGCTCAAATCCATACCTCCCTCTCTCCCCAACACGAGGATGGGACATCAAAGCACCCTGGGTCAAATAGCTGCTTGTGAAAGTTTTGTACTGGCCTAGAACCAGTACCCACAACCACAAGGACAGCTTGAACCACTGCCCAGATGTAGAAGCTGTCAGCTTCCACCTAACTCTGGCTCCGCTGCCTCATTCCATCTGTCCAGTCAGAGCCCCACCACAAAAGCTTGCTTTCCACCCATTTCCTTGTCAAGCAAAACAAATTAGCAGAGAGGAAAAGGAAGACAAATCATTTGTCCTCCCGGCCCATTAAATTGCTTGACATTTCCTCTAGCCCCACTCCGGAAGTCTCATTCTTTCTGCAGCTCGGGAACAATGCCTGCAAATGCACTTTTCTATCAGTTAAGTGCAACGTGAGGTGGTAGCAGTTTGGTGGCGGTCCAACCAGGCCCTACCCAGGGCAGCCAGTGCAAGAGCCAAGTTCTCTGTTCATAAACCACTTTACCATAAATGTCCTTGTGCACAGCTGTACACCAAAACCCTGGGGAAAAATCTGCTCTCCAGCTCTTCTCAGAGCTGGATCACACTGCTCCCTCCATCTGCTGTATGAAACCCCTTCTAACCCACATCATCCAACCAAGGCAAGCACCAACTCCATAAATCAGGCCATGTGCCAATGAAGCAATGCTCAATTTGGCTTAAGGGCGGGTTAGCAGGGAGGGAGCCCACAAGGCGCCCAAAGCCCAGAGGCCAGGGCAGCAGCAGCAGCAGCAAGCCATCTCACGGGTCACGTCAGAAAGGGTCAGACAACACCGTCCTCCATTTCTTTTGGTTTTTAATGGTCACTTTCACAATAATTTACAACGTTTGCCGTTACGCACATCGTGTATCCACTTAGTGATGAAAAATGCTGTTAGTTCAATCCCGGGAGTGACGGCTCTCAGAAATGCCCTTGCTGAGGCCTGGGGTCTGGCTCCTCTGCCTACACTGTGTGGAGGCACCTGTCTCCGTGGACTTGGTGGACCCGCTGCCCCCTCCCCAAAGCAGGGAGCCTGGCCTTTGTTCTCTGCTCATTTCAAGTACCAAAGGGAAGGAGAGAGAACGTGGAAGCCCCGAGGAGGTGGCATTCCTGCGCACAAGCTTGGAGGCTCAAGCGCAACTGAGACAGGAGAATGGAGGTATGTGCTAGTGATCTGACTGCTCGCCCTCTGGACTCTCACAGTCAAAACAATACTGCTGGTCTCAGCGTGGCACCTACACAGCTAATGTTAAAAAGCCTACAAAATTCAGCACAGCCACCAGGATAAGCCCCGAGCTGAGACAACAAGGACCTGCAAGCCAGATGCAAGCTGCGCTGGCAGAACACGAGATGGAAAACCTGCAGGCCTTGCTCTTGAATCGAGGCAGTGCCAGAAACCCCCATTTCTAAGAACACTGAATTCACCCACAAGACTTCAAAGAAAAAAATATATATAGAGCCCCGAGCCCTAAATGCAAACAGTGAAAGCAGCCCAGGGAAGAGTCCCTGCGGGCACTTCCATTGGTCCTCAACAAACACGAGAAAGCAAACCGTGGGGTAGCCTCTCCCCTGCAGTCTTGGCTTTGAAACCCACATAATTTCCAGCATCTCCATGGCTCAGTTAAAAAAGAATTCTTATTAAAACAAAAATCTCTCCCCATTCAGATCAGGTATATCCGTCTTTGCAGCCTTGTCCTTCCCTTTACTTTGTTAACAGAAGACGGAGCTTTCTGGGGAAAAAACAAGGAGCAGGCTGTCTCTCTCAAAGGAATGAGGCACCCTCCTCACACACCAAGTCAGAACTAGAGACAGACAGACAGCCTTGCTAATGGAGGGAGATGAGAGTGCCCAGGTTGGACTCTGAGAGGAACATCCACCCGAGCCTTGTAAAGCAGGAAGAGGGAGTCAGAGCTTTACCTCTGACTGGCTGAGAAAACCACAGTCCTTGCAGCTTAAACCCAAGCTTTAACCCCTAAAAAGAAACAAGCCAACTGCTGCCTGCGAGCGCTGCTGTCACAGGCCTGGAACCACTGGGAACCTGGGAGAAGGAAGCAGGTCTCAGTATGGAATTTGCTTCCTAGGAGCTGCCTCTCTCCTTCCCTCCCTCCCCTCTACCAAGCACGATGACGCGATCCACCAAAGCCAACCTAAGGACTCCAGCAGGGGAGTTTCTGGCACAATAGGCTGCGGCTCCTTTCAAAATGGTTTGTTTCGTGTTTATTTGAAAGTCCACTGATCATCACAAAAACAGGGGAAATGCAACTAAAGAGAAAACAGTCCAGCCAAGACCTAAGACCCCAGAGCTAGGAGGAGATGTGCCGCCACTCAGCAGGTGGGCACAGGAGGAGAGGCGAGCCTGTTATATTAATCGCTGGACAATGACGGCATTGAGCAGGTTGGCTTCCTTCAGGGTCTGGTTCTCATCAGTCAGCTCTTTGTTTGGGAAGGTGGTCATGAGAACAAAGCTGGTGGCTGCCATTGCTGGCCGGGCATCTACTATGAAGAGCCGGATGTCACGGATCCTGTTGAGGGGACCAAACACATAAGGGAGACCCGGTTACTTCACCCCTGCACCCGCATAGGGGAAAAATCCCAACCTTACTCTCAACTTCCTGAACAATCCCGTGACAACAGGACACGGCCACTCTTAGGTAAATGCTGCTGCTTTACACCTCTGCACCTAGCATGCTGCTTTACACAGACTATGGGTGAAGATAAAGCCCTTCAACACAGGCTGCAATTCCATCCTTTGCATGTCTGTCCTAGACTTGCATCTGCTTAAGCAGCTGTACTAACAGGGCTTACACCTGCAAATCGCTAATGTGTCTGAATGCCCCGGTGGGTAAAGCTAACCCTGCACACACAGTCCGTAAAGTGCTTTGGAGTCCTTAGGATGGAAGGTGCTATACCGGGGTGGTTAAAATGGCAGATCCGGATAGCAGCCGGACTCCATTTCCCAGCAGCCCCTGTCCGCGTTGCTGCTGCCGGTTTCCACGGAGATGCAAGGAGCAGGGGAGCTATGACAGCACAGGGCCAAGGGTTACACCTCTGCACCTAGCTAAGGAGGCTGCTTTACATCAGCTACAGGTGAAAATAAAGCCTTTCAACCCAGGCTGCAATTCCATCCTTCTCCTAGACTTGTATCTGCTTAAAGAGTTGTACTTGAAGATAAAACAGAAGTGGCACTAAAGGTTACAAGAGTAACACTGAGGTGTCCAGATGAGCTATCACCAATTCTAACAGCCTTCACTGTTTGGAAAACATTCTCACCTACCAAACAGTAAAAATGACCTGAAAACCCCGCAGTAATTTTGCTCTTATTCACCTCTACAGACCAGTCCCCAGAGCTCCCCTTAGCAGGTGAGCCAGGATTTTACCATCTGCTCCAGCAGTTTGTAGTGTCATTCAGGCTTTCCCAGTTAGTAACCTGGGTTTCCTGTTGCCCATGTACCTGTGGCTGTGGTTAAATTTCTGGACCAACCGCCCACCATCTGCGAGCCGGATCTGGATGTTGGTGACAGGCTCCGACTCGTCAATGGTGATGGAGGAACTGGCTTTGGCTTCATTTTCTGCCTGCTGAGCTGGAGAGCTGGAGCCCATCACCTGGGGGGCGGTGCTGAGAAAAGGAAAACACCAAAGGCAGCTTTTAGAAACTAAATTGCTCCATCAGTGTCTGCCAGAAGAGTTCAGTCCCTGGCCACATTAACACTCTGGGGCTAGAAATCAGGATTCCCACACAAAGCAGCCATGAGGCCAACGCACCACAGAGAACAAGAACTCACAAGCCAGCTGGCAGCACACCAGCGTCTCGCGCACTGCTCTAGCATTTCCAAACCAGCCACCCCACTGGATCCACAGATTGCATTAGATATTCCCAGGTCCAGAGGAATCTAATCATGGCTTCTGTTACTTGCTCCTCTTCAGTTCAGATTGATCTCACCCAAGCGCCAGTTAATAAAGGAGCACATGACACTCCCATGGACACAATATGGAACATTTAAAACAGTTAAGTAATTCCTTCTCACAGAGCCACTCTGCCACACATGCAAGTTATATATTTTTTTTTTTACACCCAAGGAAAGGAACAGAAGTTAAATGGTTGGACCAAGGCCAGAGTCACTGCCAGAACCAGGATTAGAACTCATGGCCCTAGCTCATAGCCTCAGGTTTCAATCTCTTCACATCTCTCATTTTGCTACTATCAGCTAGGAGTTTGCAACAGAGAACAGGAGCAGGGATCAGATCTGGTCAGCATATCACATGTAGTAGAGCCTCGAGTGTCTAAATCCCAGGGATAACTAGGGGGCTTGTAGAAGGAATTGGCACCAATAAGAGAGGAAATTATATTATCTACTTTTTTTGGCCATCGAAGCCAATAATGTTTGCCAATAATTATGCCTCCTGGCCAGGGCCCTGGACACCTGGGTTCCCACTGCCCTGCGGGGCCAGGGCCCCCGGATGCCTGGGTTCCCTTGGGAAACAGCAGGTTCCCCCTTGCAGACTTGCAATTCAAAGGCAGCAGAGCAGAAAGCCCCAGGCCTACAGCAGGCAGCCTGCATCTGCCCTTACTTGGCTCGGCTCAGCTCTGCTTAAAAACATCCCCACGCTTAAAAATGGTGGCCAGGCTTGAATTAAAGATCATTCAACAAATTTTAATTTAAGCAGGCTGTCGCCATTTTTAAGCACCAGGATGCTGATACATGTGACACAGGAGCGCACCAAAAAAAAGCAAACCAAAGGTTTATGTCAATATTTACTTTAAAATGATTTGCATTTTAAAGTAAATTGGTTATCAGATCAGCATCAGCTGATATGGCTGGTTAATAACTGGCTATCAGTATCAGCCAAGAAAAACTTTATTGGTGTACCCTTAATATATATACACGTGTGTGTACATTTATGTAGCGATAAATAGATATATAATAATTAGTTTTGTTACATGTGTCTATAAAATGCCACATGTTCCTCTATCCTAACGAAGAGCCAATTATTGACCTTTGAGTAAGAAATAAAACCCCAATGAAAACAGGCCAGTTTCAGCCTAACCCTTTTATGGTTATATTTCCTGAACAGGATTATAATAGGATGCTGCTGAGACAGCAGGGGGCTGGTCCCAACCATCTAAGAGACCCCTTTCACTGCTATGTTCCTATGGGAGGGGCTTTCATAGTTTCATAGTTCTTAGGGCCAGAAGGGACCTAAACAGATCATCAGGTTCGACCCCCTTCCCCGGGCAGGAACAGGTGCAGCAGTCATACCACCCCAGCCAAATATCTGTCCAGCCTCCTCTTGAAGACTCCCAAGGTAGGAGAGAGCACCAC